CATAAGAAATGGATAATTGCCTCTATTTTATAGATGTGCTCATTGAGATTCACAGAGGTTAAGTCACTCACTAAAATAACATTAGAAAATAGCACAGGTGACTTCCAAGATTAACTCTGGACCCTGAGGTCCAGTTTTAATCCAAAACCCATGGTCTCTAATTCCAGCACTGCTCTAGATTTAGCCACCACTTCTGTCTTTGTCTACATCATTCAACCTTCTGTTTCTTGACTGGTATCTTTCCGCAGCCAGAACCAGTGGATAGCATGACAGGGAAGAATGTCCCACCTTGACAGAAGGTGACGAGTACACACAGGAAGCGGGAAGCTCAATGCTTTTCTGCTTCATAGTTTTAGTTTATTTTGACCCTGACTTATTCCATGAAAGGGTTGAGACTCCAGTCTAAGTATGTTTGTATGTAACAGGCTTAAAGATCTCATAGACAATTAACCTGTTACTATTTTAAAAACAGTAATGTTATTGACTAAGAATTAGAAAAGTTGAGATTTAATTCATGCTCTGCTGTGAATCCACTATGTGATCATGGACAAGTTATGTTCTTTCTCTAGGTCTTGTTTTCCCATCTGTGAATTAAAGAATTGGGCTAGATCAAATGTAATGTCCCATCCATTCTTTCACTGTGCAGTTTTAATCCCACAAACATACTTCAGAGGCAGGCAGAGTGTGATCATAGTGTTCATGGCAGCTCACTTGGACACACAATGAGGTCAAGCATTTTTCTTAAAGAGACTCTCCAACGATGAAGGGGACAGCAGTTCAGGCTGCATGAATATGGATGTGTAATCTACCTATTTGTGAGTAGCTCTGATCAGTAGGCAATCAATTTACTGGCTCCTCAAGATGATTAAAATGAGCTAGATAACCAGATCCCCAAGTTGCATAATACCTATGAAGGAAAGTGCTCTCACCAATCTTCACATCAGCATTCAAATATGAAGAAGCTCAAAAAAAGTCAGAGGACACACTTTAACACTTAGAAAGGCCACCCTGCCTTGCCTCTCTTCAAACTTACTTCTAAGAGCATTTAGAAGCATCTTACTTAAAACTCTGATGTGTATTGTTATGGCTAAAATACTCTGTCTTAGATATGTCAAAACAACAAAAGTTGGTAAGCAATTAGCCTATAATCTAATCTGATTGCATGGTACTGAGGGATAGAGGTGGCTGGTGTTCTTGGGGTGGAAATCTGAAAGCCAGGGCAGTAACTTAGACTTCCGCTGGCAAGCCACTCACAGTGCGTGCACAGAAGCTATGTGGAAATGATGGGGCAGAACACCTCCTAAGGCGCCGTTACAGTCTGTTGTTCCTACAATCTATGTATTTAACAGGCCCTAAATATCTTGTGACATAACCGACCAGAACATCTCCGTTGGTGCCGTTCTGGCTGATCAAGTTAACAATGTTTCATTTTAAAGTGCCAAAATAGGGATTTACCCAATATGGTGAAATGCATGTACTCATATGAATTTATACGTGTTATAAAGACACAAGCACTTCTATACCTGTGTAGTAAATGCTTGTCCACATTTATGTACAGATCAAACATGTTTTATGTATATCTAATGTTACTGCGTGTCATACAAACAATCTACAATGGGACATTGTGATGCACTACCCAGATTTCTCCGTTAGGACTGAAAGATTTATTCACTCAGCTGCAAAATATGTTGGTAGCTCACCCTCAGCTGTTTGGCACTGATCTAGCTGAAGAGACTTCCAAAGGAAGCCCTCATCTAAAAACAGGTTGACACAAGTGTGTGAAAACTCACCCCGTCCACTGGGGGCAATTCTGAATGGCCATGGCAGCCTCCAAGCTTCCTCTGGGCTAGGCTGAGGCCTTGGTTGAGACTGCATTGCTTTGATCCTTTCCATTATATAGTTGGCAATCAGAAAGAGAACTCCCCAATGAACCTGCTTGCTAATTTCCACCTCATCATCTGCTTTTCAGATCTACCACACACCCCTTTATAAAGAATGTCCAAATAAGAGAGCAACCAGGGATGCTTAATAAATTATAAAAGTTTTCTGACAGCAACACTGTGAAAATTTTTCTAAAACTGCATTACAGGTTATGAGGACAAATTCATAAATCTAATTTATACATCTTTATATTTAGAGAAACATATAATTCCAAAATGGACAATGTTGAAGACAGTTCAATTGAATTTAAAATAATCCATTTTATCAATCTTATTTCACTTTATATATTTACCCTCATTGACTTCAGAATGATCTGACCCTCCAGAAGAAAAAGTAGTGTCCTACGGAAGCTCATAAAATTAAGATGGATTATTTTGATTATAAGAGAACCAAATCCACCATTACAGGAGTCATTTAATTTACTCTTCTAAATTTTTTCTTCTAAATTAGTAAGCGAGAATAGATAACGACTCTAGAAACTAAACAAAGCCTACAAAACCACAAAATCCATGTTCAAATGAGTGACACTATGGGGAGGGAGCTCACAAAAGTTAAGGAGATCTTGTGAACACTTCCCTGAGTGTTGTGGACTTTTCCAGTGCTCCAAATTCAACCAGTAAAATCAGGGGCTGAGACAACTCCCTTTAACTGGGACACTAGGGCTTTCTGGTTCTGTAGAAATCACCCCGCTGCTTCCCCTCAGGGGCTCGGTCATAGTCAGTGTGATAAGTTTTAGATCAAGTTTGGTTTTTCATCATTACTTTCTATCTTGGCCTAATCTCTCATCTCTCTTCCTTGTCTTCTAATGTGAAATAAGGTGTTCTTATTTCAGAACCTCAGATGTCTTCTTCTAAAATGAATTAAGAAAACTCAGTCAGAAATATTTAAATTGACCTGTATTTGAAGTTAATAGTGCATTAACTTTGAACTTCAACTCCAATTGATGGTACAAATTCAACTATCTTGGGTCACAGTGCCAGACACACAGAGATTCACTGCTGAACTCAAGGTATGTCCAGTGCCAATGTCCTGCTAGGTTATGGATCAGGATGGGAAGAAGTGCTGCTATTTCAAGATCAGGATGTTGCTATTCTAAGCCTGCTTAATAGGACCGAGGGGCTTCACTGAAAGGCCGAGTTGTTGTAACATACTGAACACATGTCTCATTTCCCCCAAAACTAAATAGCATATACACACATTCTATTTTAAATACTCTTTATGTAAATATTCCAAACAAAAATTTCTATATGTATTTCTCAAATAAATATTTCATTCATGACATTAGTCAAAGGCAAATTATTTTTCATAATTTAACAATAATATGGCTATTTAAATAAAATAAATTAGCTTTTTGTGGAATGAAATTTCTGAAATGTATTAATTTAAAATATATTTTACTGTGCCCAATGTTTTTCAACTAGCAGTAATTTTGTCCTCTCTCCCCCAATAGAAGACATCTGGCAATGTCTAAAGTCATTTTTAATTGCCACAAAGGGATAAATGCTGCTGACATCTAATAAATAGAGGCCAAATTAGTAGCCCCATGACCAAGAATTACCAGGGCAAAAATGTTAATAATGCCAAGGTTGAGAAACCCTGATTTAATCTAATAAATCTAGAGTTTCTAATTTTGTATATTACCTCATTTGGGAAGTTTAAGTATGTGAGTTGGCCAATATGCCAACACCTTTACTGCTTCCTTCTACTGACCCTCCCACTATTGTGTGAGGATCTCATATCTGTGACAAAGTAGTATATTTGTCCCACATATTTAAAATCCACCATGATTTAGTTGGAAAGGATACATGGAATAGACTGACAGCTGTCAGGGGGGAGGGGTTGGATGAGAGAGGTGAAGAGATTAACAACAACAACAACAACAAAAAGTAAATAACATATAGATAGGGATAACAGTGTGGTGAGAGCCAGAAGGAAATGGGAGGAGGTGGAGATAGAGGTGGGCAAAGGCAGGGGAAAGTGGGGACAGAAAGAAGCTTTGGGGAGGTGGACACACGTTGCAGTGTGTAGATGATGTGTGGTTTGGTGAACCAATATCACTCCAATAAATTCATTTTTTTAAAAAGTAAGGAAACATAAGATAAAGTTCCTACTCTGTACCAGGGGTTGGGCTGGGTATACTCACATAAGCTTATGTCACTGTATCCCAGATTACTACTCTTATACTATAGATGAAGGAATTGAGAGTCAGGTAAAGCAACTTGCCAAATATCACGTAGTTGGTGACACTCAGTGACTACTATTCCAAGTGAGAATATATATTTTTAAACTCATTAATACTTTCTCATATATGCAAAAAAAATTCTGAATCACTAATGGTTGTTACTACTTGAAGAAAATTTTTGAATCATTAATGGTAGTTAATGGGGTGAGGAGGCTAATTAGCTTTTCACCATATATCTTTCTGTATTACCAGAATTTTCAGTAAGTATATATTACTTCATTTGAAAACTAATAAATAAAAAAGACTCAATTAAACAAATCACTGACATGTTTCTCAAATTAATTTTAGGATTAACCCTGGACAAAATTGTAAAGTAAAAGATGGTCCATGGTGCATAAATCCTTGTTTTTAACCCAATTTCCCACTCATTTACCCCTATGCCAGAACTTCTTTACCTACCCATGTTCCAAGAAAGGATCTTAGGAAGTTATTTACATTAAAGTGAAAAATGTTATTATTTCATGGTGTTCTCACTGAGCACAAGACAGAATCTTAGGTCAGAGGTGTTTCATTTAAGCTGCTTTGTTTTATTTTTTGCTCTGGCCGATAGGATGCTTAAAGCAAATTCAGTGATGAGTCCTAGTAAGTTATCCCATCATGATCGCATAAGCTTCTTTTTAAATATTATATTCTTATTCTAATAACCTCACATATCCCCTTCATTATAAGATATTTCTAAATCTTTTGGAATGGGACAGAAAGACAACAATGGGCAGGTAGGTTGAGTGCCTGGTTGATGCTTGAGAACCTGGAAAGAGCCCGATGAGAAGGAGCCAATGGTGCTAGCGAGCCAGTGAAGGAGGGAAGCCAGCTTTACCTTTTCATTCCTGCAGTTGGTCAGCCCCATATTGTTCATGGAGGGCAGCTTCCCATCAATCCCGTGTGGCTGTTGCTGCTGTTGCTCCCGCTGGATCTGCTCTCGCATCTTCCGAGCTTCCTGAATGGCTTTCATCACTGTATCCTGATCCCCAAACAGGGCAGGGGAGTTGAGACTCGACAGGATATCTGCACACACAGGATGCATTATCAGAGGCTTGTGAGGTGAGAATCTTTACAAAATATTGCTGCTCTTCCTTCCCCTGTAGAATGCTGCATTTGCCAAACAAGGAAGGGGCAAGTTTGCTATTAAGAAAAATGGCAATACTGTGCATAGAGCACAGAAGGCCAGGGCAGTGAAGCTGTGTTGTTCTGTTGGTGGTGGTTTTGGTTTTTGGTTTTGTTTTGCTTGTTTTTTAGCTCTTGGAGGATGTCCTGGCACTCCAGTTTATCTGGTCTATCAACCCACCTCATGGTTGAAGGTTTCTGGATTCCAATTGTGTGTATATATTTATCTGCGCTGCTATGTCTAACAATTAGAAGGAGAGTGGTGGGGAAGAAGAGAGTGGGAAGGGGAAACAGAGATGTCTGTTCAGGCTGCTCATTATATAATATTTGATGTGCTAATTCAGGAAGGCTGTTGCTGGTCTAGCAGAAAGGATCTGCGAGGCTACATGTGTGCTTCAATGACATCTGTGTGTGTGTGTGTGTGTGTGTGTGTGTGTGTGTGTGTGTGTGTTTGTGTGTGTATGTGTGTGTGTGTCCACTGCGGGAGAGAGGGGGCTGGAAGAAGCACATCACACTCTCTGTTCCCCAGTCACTGGCTGGTTAATGAAGCATTCTACTCATCATGCTGCCTCAGTTATTTACCAAGAGAATGACAACCCATTCCCTGCCCCCAGCCCGATCACCCACTGCTCTCAGTCTCCTGCCTTCCTGATAGGCAGGCTGTATGAGTGGGGATGATTTTCACATAAGAACAAAGCTTCAAATAAAGTGATAATAAATGTTTACTTTCATTATGTTCCATGCAACACAGTGAGAAATTTTTCAGAATTAAACTGACTAATTTTCCTTCATATCTTGCATTATATTGTAGGTTAAAATTTATACTTTAGATAAGTTTTTCCAGTTCTACAAAAAAGTAAAACAATTGCTTGCTGATTAGATTTCAACCCACTTGTTTGTAACCTGGTATGAGCATTTCATGGCCCATGTCTGTCTGTGTTTGTTTGTGTGTGTGTGTGTATGTGTGTGTGTACATGTGCACCTGCCTTTGCTTTTAGAAAATATTCTCAAGACTATATATGGGAAAATTTTTAAATCAGTCACTTTTTAGGATATAGAAACCCATGTCTCATGCTCTGAAGCTTTTCTGATACAAAAAAAAAAATCTCCTATATTGTCTGGAGCAGAGAGCCATTACCTCAGCCTATTTCTTTCAGCTCAGGATCTAAGACATATGCTCTGCTGAAGTATAAACTTCATAAAAGCAGGGCCTGTGACAGGGTCACCTCTGTCCCTCACAATGTTCAGTACAGCAAATCAATGCTTTCCCAACAAAACTTGGAAATGGATAATAGTAGGACCATTTCAAGATAAACTCTGTTATTATTTACTGATGCTGGGTTTTTTCTCATCTCACAGCTCCCAATGATCCAGTGACCACATTCACACACTGGGTTTGCTTTGGTCCTTGCTCCCACAGCAAACCCTCTGACGTGAGCTGAGGATCTCGGGCCCTCAAAAGGCATCCTGACTCAAAATGAGAACAGGCCGCTGTGTGGCTCCTAATGTGCAAATTTCAGTGAGGACGAGTAATCTCTGACTTGGACTCAGCACCGTTCAGCAAATGCCCCAACTGTGGGTTCGAAAAAGGAGCACTGATTCTGTGGGAGAGGACCTGGATTCTGGTCTTAGTTCTCCAGATTGCAAAACTACATGGCCGTGGGCAAGTCATTTTACCTGTGAGGACCCCATTTACGTACAACCAGGGTAATAACACTACCCTACCTAACTCATATGATTATTGTGAAAAAAATCAAATAAGAAAGACAAAAATGGTAAGCTGTAAATGGCTACGTTTAAACATTATTTAACTTATTGCAATAAGCATTTCAGGCTCCAGGACTCAATTACACAAGGAAGATGATATGGTGTAGAAATGCTTAGGTCAGTGGGTGGCTCTTTGGACCCTTGAGCGTGGCTCTTCCACAAAATACCACATGCAGGGGCGCACACGTACAGCGTGATTAAAACTTCATGGCCCATGCGCAGAGGGCGGTTTTCTGCTCTCAAAAGAAATTTCAATCGTTGTACTGTTGATATTTGGCTCTGTTGACTAATGAGTTTGCCGACCACTGGCTTAAGGTTATTCCCTAATCCCTTTGAATGTCTATGTCTTTATTTGAAAAGTGAGAGATTTAAAGAACATAGTAACAATAAAGTAACAGAGCTACTGACAAGTTTTTCACATGCTTCATTCCACACGTTCTTATAAGGGTACTGGTATTCACTCTGCCCAGCCTTTTTAAACCTTATACCTTCAAGGTGCCAGACACCACGTTAGACAATTTACAAGCATTTTTCTCTCTTAATTCTCCTAACAACCTACGAGCCTAGGTAATAATATCCCCCTTTCAAAGATTAGGAAACTAAAGTTTAAAAGATTAAATATCTTTCCCGGGATTATACAGCTAGTAAGTAAAGGCTCTTAGTCCAAGTCTGTCTGACGCCAGAAGCCATGATTTCCCTGCACGCTTCTCACACGGGGCGTAGGCATTCCTAGAGAGATCTGGCCACGTGTCAGCAATTCTAACAAGCCAGAGGATCATTATATCTTATTAGATTCCAGTTTTATTTCATGTATATTCATTTTAATGCAAACGAATAGATTAGATGTGAAATCCACATGCATTTAAAAAAAAAAAGAAACATAGCATTTCAAAGGAATTGTGGACTTTTGATGGGCAGCTTTGAGGCCAGGGTCCCTTTAGGTCCTTGGGGGACTCACGGTCACTCCTTCTGCCCAGAGTTCCTTTGGTGGCAAAGCACTGATGGAACACAGAAATTCCTAACAGTATGATTTGCTGAAATCGAATTCATCATCATCTCAAGAACCCATCCCAGCAGAATTTATAGGATGGCCTTTTCCAAAAGCTCTAATAGCCCAAAGGGCACCAAAATGGGTTATGTTTCAGTAGGACATATTTTGCTCTTTTGCTTTTTCTTGGACTAAGGAACACTTTGGAAGCAAGAATCAGTCATCACTCAGCAGGTGTGTTTTCTGTTACCTAATTCATAAGTCTCTTCCTGGTGTTGACCTTTCCATTTACCTAGAGAGGATCCCCTCCCCAAGCTCCCTGCAATGGGGCTGGGGATGCCGCTTTTGCTGGGCAGGCTGGCGGGGCTGGTTTTGCTGGCTGGGAAGAGGCTCTGGGTGGGAGAGGTTGGGGACTTGACAGGCTCCGCTGTCTTGGGTCTGGATGAGAGATTCAGCGGCTGTGCTGTTGCTTCATCCTACGGGAGTTTAACATAAATAATTATTAAAAAGAAAAAGACAAATGAAGCACATTATCACTTAGCAAGCCACAGTTATTTTACACCTCAGAGACAATGCCACATTCTCCTACAATCATAACAAAAGAAGCTAATTATCTACCTCCTTGAAGATTCATCAGAAGGAAACCTCATTAATTTCCCTGTGTTATGCTTCTATTTACATTAACTGTGTAGTTGGATCATTCTTTTTGCCAAATTAAAATCTGAATTAGCTCACATTACAGCTTAATTTCCTAATGTGTTTTCAGGGATCTAAATTAACCTAGGGCATTTACAAAGAATTATTTAAAATTTCAGCAGCTCTGCAGTGCTTTTGTGTTAGTCTCTCTAAAAAGTTCCTGGGTACTATAAATAGGCCCTGCAGCTAATTTTTTAATATATATTTTAAATCAAACAATTGCAAGTACTTTAAAAATGGAAACACGGGAGGAGTTCTCTGATCTCCTGGGCTTCTGCCCAGAGCCGCCTGCCACAGCATGGCTTCCATGTGGCTTTCTGGGTGTGGGCACTCTTCATGGTCTGTATTCTGGTCTCTACTCATGTTTAAAATTAATTTTTGCAAAGAGCTAGCACACACTATAATTATGTTTTACATACCATGCTAAATGCAATTTATTTTTCATGTCTAAAGTGATGCCTCTTTATATCTTTGCTCCATATATTTACAGAATGTCTATTTTAAGACCTATCCTATACTGCGCACAGGACTCAAATATCTTGCTTGTAACTCTAGTTTAACCAGAAGCTCGGAAGCTAAGCTCCTTGCCATTATTTTGTCTCACTTATCCAGCCATAAAACACCCGTAACAACACTTTCATCGTGCTAAAAACTTAGTTGTAAATATGAGCATATTCATATAAATGTCCAGTTTTAAGATCGGCATTATTGTGTCCTAAAATAAAATTGTCAGCAAATGTTAATTCTTGTTTTGCTTCTGAGGAGGCACAGAGACCTTGCTTTTAATGTTATTGTTTAAAACACACAGTAGAGCTTAGAAACAGAACATCCTCTCCCTTGGCAACCCTGTGACCTCTCTGAGGCTCAATTTCTTCATCTCTAGAAAAAAAAAAGGCCTGGTTTTAGCTGATCTCTAGGTCTCTTCTAGTATTAATGGTCATTGTTTAAGAGGCAACAAAGGGAGATGCCAGAAAATACTACTCAGGAAGGAAAACTCGAAAAAAAAAAAAAAATTACATTCAACAAAGGAACCATTATGTCCCAAGCACTATGCTAGACATTTTCACACATATTAGCTTATGTCACTTTCAATAAACTATGAGGTTGGGCAGTATTATTCTAACTTCACAAAGGAAGCTGAGTCAGAGTGATGCAAGCACTGTCCAAAGCTCTATGTGGAGGGACAAAATCTGAATTCTAGTTTATTGGACTCCAAATCCCAGGTCCCTTTACTATTACACTATCAGAGACAATAAACCATTCGATAATGCAGGATATCCTACAGTATTTTTGCTCTTGTTTTGTTCTGTTTTTGTCATGGTAGGAAATAGGTAATCAGACACATCCATGCTGCAATGTTCTTTCATTTACATCTAGACATAGGATAGGTTCTTAGGTAACAGTTACATCCTTTATGAATGTCAAAATTATCCAATATGCTTAATTATAATTTACCTCCTTTTGTTCTAAACTCAAAGGATAGTTACACTAGTCAGTTCCTTTATTCATATATAAGTAATAGTGATTCATATACTAGTTTCACTCAGCTTCTTAGTTATCTAAGGTCAGAGTTTTCTTCAAATTTGCAATTACTTCTTTTTAAAAAAATATATATTTTATTGATTTTGTACAGAGAGGAAGGGAGAGAGATAGAGATAGAAACATCAATGAGAGAGAGTCATTGATCAGCTGCCTCCTGCACACTCCCCACTGGGGATATGTCCGCAACCATGGTACATGCCCATGACCAGAATCGAACCCGGGACCCTTCAGTCCCCAAGCCAACGCTCTATCCACTGAGCCAAACCGGTTTCGGCTGCAATTACTTCTTAAATATAGTTTTCTGTTCCTTCATTCTCCTTCTGAGGTTTCAGTTGCATATATCAGGTCATTTGATGTCCTGCAGCACTCTTTTTTTCTCTGTATTTAATTTTGGATGGTTTCATTGTCATGTAATCAAGTTCCCTAATCTTTTCTTCTGTAATGTCTAGTTTGTTGCTAATCTCAATCAGTACTAATCCAGTGAGTATACTTTTCATTTCAAACAGTGCTTTTTTTTTTTTCATCTCTAGACATTCAATTTAGGTCTTGCATGTCTTGCCTTATAACTCTTATGTTTTCCCCTAACTTCTTGAACATACGGAGTTTATAACATCTGGTTTTATTCAGCTTTGAATATACTCCGATTTATTTATCTTTACAATTTAATAATTGGCACTTCCACAAACAATGCCATTGGGTACGGGAAGTTCCTATCAGCTCCCAATCATGTACATCTCTTTCTACCATGTCAGACCTGCTACTGGTCCTCACAGCTGGGCCTGGCCTGACAGAAACTCTGTGGGTGTTTGGGGGAAAGCAGATTTGCCCAATTCCTCAGTTGGCTATACTTGTAAGTCTCTAATAATAGCTGTGTTTACTGTTTTAAACTGCTAATTCAATGATATGTGTCAGTTGGGAGTCTGGTTCTATTGATTGAGTTTTCTCCTCATTATTGTTCATATTTTCTTGCCTCTACGAAAGCCTGATAATTATTGAATGAACACTTGTGAACTTTACATTGAATTGTGAACTTTACATTGGGTGTTAGAATTTGTATATCCCTCTACATATTTGTGAACTTTGTGCTGTGATGCAGGACAATTTAATCCTTTCTGGACACACTTAAAAGTGCTGTTTGGCAGGTCCAGAGATGCTTTTAATCTAGGGATAATTTGGCCCCACTGCTGAGTTAACATCCTTCTGGGGATTCTACTGGATATGCCATTTGTCAGGAGAATCTTCTACTCTGGCTAATGGGAATTCAAACCATCCTCAGTCCATTGTGAATCTTACAACTGTTTTGTCTGCTAATCTGATCTTCCCTGTTGTTAGTTTCCTCATATGCATTTGCTAATCAATACCCAGCTAAATTTGGGGAACCTTCAGTAGATCTTCAATGCATTCTCTGTGTGCAGCTCTATCCTCACTGGCACCCCACCTCACAAATTCCACCTACCTTAGTATCTCTAAACTATGTACTCTTATCTCTTTACTCAGGGAAGCTGCCAAACTTAATGTGTACCCCTCCCTGCACTATTGCCTAGCAATTCCCTCTAGATAGCAAGCTGAAACAATTATGGTCTTTGCCTCACTTTTTTTAAAAATCAGGGATCACTGTCCTATACTCCTCTTGTAAATGTCTGAAAACCATTGTTTTATATATTTTGTCCTGAGTTTCAGTCGTTTAAGCTGGTACAGTATATCTGGTCCCTGTTCCTTCATCATAGTTGAAAATGTTAATCCTCCAGGTAGTTGGTTAGTATCTCTTGGTATACACCTAGGAATTTCAATCACAACTCCTACTACCACCACCACCACCATCTTCTTTATTACCATCAGATCATCATTAACAGCCTCATCACCACATTAATATTTTGGAATACTCACTACATGCTAGAGGATGTATTCTCATATTTAAGACCCATAATAATATTAACTTTCATTTTACAGAGAACATTAAGTCTGAAGAAGGTTTAAGTAGCTTGCCCAATGTGACACGACAGGTAAAAAGGATTGAACTGACATTTGGACAGATGCATTCTGGCTTCTGATGTTGAGAATTATAGTGAATAAAAATTCTGGGGGGAAGAAGGTAAATAAATCCATTTGTGTCTATTTTTGTTACCTTCAGAGAATTAGCCTTTTGCAATGTAGATATGTTACACAGAGAAAGCAATGACACAAACAGAAACATGAGATATTTTCGTGACCATAATTCTTTCATTTAGAAGATTACAAGATTGTTCTCAGAACTTCTTCTATAATAGATAGGAGCTATTTTTAAAATTTAAAACATTTGTTTTATGTTTTGGCTTATATATTTTTACCCATACATACAATAAACAATCTAATACATGTAAGGAATAAGGGATACTTTCTTTGTTATTAACATAAAATATAGTCAGGTCAAATTATATAGAGAACTCCCTAAGAATTTGCATGTGGTCAAGTGAGTAATAAAATTCAGTTGGCCCACGAAGCTGGAATGGTGAAAGCAGATATAAACTTAAATTTAACCAGGGAACATTTTACTCATCCAGTAAAGGCTTGGTTTGGTGCAGTTCCATTTGGCCAACGCACTTATAAAATGACTTTTTCATGTTAAAATAGCTAATTCTCAATACCTCAAGTCACTGATGTTTGATATGCTCATACTCTAACAACTGTAATTAAACAAAGTGCCTTGGTTTGAGTTGTAGTGCTCTGACTCTTATTCACAAATAGAACGTTGGGATATAAAAAATCCGTTACCATAGTTATGCTACCTTAATAAATGTAAACAGCGTATTTTTACGTTTCAATATTTCTAACAACAAAACTTAAATGTCCATCTAGTTCTTTGGAGAATTTAAAAACATGGGTGGCATTAAATTAATTCCTTTAGGTGGGGCACAGCCAGAACTATCTCTCTTAACAATGTTTACTTTTCTTATCTTTGGTATTTAGGACCCATTTTTATAAAGTCCTTTCTGAAATCTCAACATTTCTGTCTGAAAATATTAGAAAATCAAATGACTTCAGTGAGTTTATAGCATTCAATGCTTGTTTGTTGAGTTTTGGATATTTTTCCTGTGAAGATTTAATAATCGTATATTTCCTCCCAATGAAGTACTTTGGGTACATTACAATCATACATCTGTACTTAGCATAACCCTCTAAATAGTCAATTATATAAAACAATTGTTTTTTTCTGAATTGTTTGAATTTGTTAATTCTACTTAGGATGGAAAGGCAATCATAAAAACCAACCGGTACCACCTATAGGTACTAGCTACAGCACAAAGTTGGAATGGATCATCAATTTCCCTTAGTCACCACGTACCACCTGGCTACCTCTTTCTTAGGCACTGAAAGTCAGTGAGAAAAGGCATCTATTAATCTCCTAGCCATACCTTGGGAGAGCCTGTTCATCTTATCACAACCTACTATATGTCATCAGACATGATTATGCAATGCTATCCCTCATTCTTCAGAGCCCACTTTCCTGTTTTTGAAGGGGAGACCTTTATCAGAAAACCACAGAAAGCCCAGCAGTAAGCTCTTTTTTTGTTCCCCTTTTTAAATCTAAAGTTTGGAGATCCTCCTTCTCTAGTAATATAAGTTGGCTCCCCACCTGTTTAAGAAACTTGGAGGGAAATGTCACAAGTCTGTGACAAACACTGGCAATAAAACCATGGCCATTCATGCCAGTGAACATTAAAAAAATAAAAGCCAGAGTCCAAAGGGGAAAAACTCTTGAGAAGTGAGTGTGCAGAGTTAGGTAAAGATCTCACAATATGGCACTATTGTTATCAAACTGGAAACACCTGTTTCTCAGTGCTCAATCATGAAATTTACCATAAAGAGGAGCGTTTTGGGGGATCCTTTATGTCGCTATGCTTCCTGCTGTTTATTCCCAGCACAGCCTGGTTCACTACCTTTTCTTGTGAAGCTATTTTCCAAACTGTTTCCACAATCCTGCAAAGCAAGTACCTTAACTTGAGTTACAGGGCTGGTCCCTCTCTTTTCATTTTTTATCCCAGTAGGTGACACTGCCCCTGCTGTGTTTGGTGGCTGTGGAGTTGATGGCATCTTTGCTCCAGGTGACACCTGCATGCTGGCCAGCTGAGCGGCATAGAGCTGCTGCAAAACAGGAAAGACAAACATTATCTCTTTATATGAAGTTGAAATGGAGTTTCAGGAAAACTTACCGTCTTGTTAGATACATATTTCTCTAACAGCTTTGCAATTTCTCTTTCACTATTTTTTAAAGAGGAAAATAAGAGAGATCAAATAATATAACAGAAAAAAAAAAGTACTGGTATGGGAGTCATTGTCCTGTCCCTGGTCCTTCCAGCAATAACTTTATAACCCTAAACAAAGGACTTGATCACTCTAGAACTCATTCTCTTCAATTGCACAAAAAAGGAATTTGACCAAATGGTCTCGAAGATTCTTTCTAGTATCTAAAATCTTTATAAAAAGTGCTTTAAAAGTTGGTGTGTCCATTCTTGTAATTTTAACATTTGTTAAAATGTTAAAAAGCTGATCTGAGCTTTCCTAGGGATTTCCTACAAGAACTTTGTTCTCATTCAGAACTGACCATGCTTCTCTGGGACCACTGTTCTATCTGAAGGATGAAAGTGCTGCCATCAAGATCCCTCAGGCCCAATAGACATCTCTCTTACCTCAGGGTCCTATTTCTAGGTAGTGTATAACATGGTCCAAAGGAAAATATAGCCAGATTTGTGGGGGGGAAAAATAATAATAGTAAGAAAATCAAGCTTCTTTCTTGTAGCACAGGACATTAAATGCTTAAATGCCAGTTTATTAGGTTTTGGATGACATTGGTGACACATGAACCTGTAGATCCGCTAGTTGACCAGAATTCAGATAACTCAATCTTAACACTATTTAATGCCTGAAAACGCCATTCAAATATTTTCTTTTCTTCTTATCAAGAGTAAGCTGTTACCTTAATAGGCATATTGTATCATAATAAGTAGAAAACTTCCTAGTTTCAGCAACCACAAAGAAAATAGCTCAAACTTTGCCACATTAGTAGGGGAGAAAAAACAGGTGGTTTGTATGTAATTTCCAGTATTACTATCATTCAGATGGACAAATAAAAAAAATTACAGTAATCAAAAACAGACCTTTCAGCACATGTAATTAAATGAAAGCTTAATAAAGAATAATTTTCCAGAGCCAGATGTGCTTATGTCATGATTGTTGCTTTCTTTGGAACAATTTTTCTAATATAACAAGCCTCTAAAGAAATTAGAGCTTCATAATTCTGTGTGTGCAATGACTCAGTGGCAAGAAAAATCACAAGAAAGAGTCAGTCAAACTGCTAAAACTTAGAGGAGTAAGGGAACTGTCTTCCCCCCCCCCCCTTTTTATCTTGCTGTATATTTTTCCTTTGAAATTCAGCCAGGTGTCTTCAAATTGGGGGAGGGGGGGAGGGAAATGAGGCGGTGGCTCAAGTGAATCTTTTGGAAAATGTTCTGCATGGCATAAGCCAGTGTAGAAAAGTTCTGTACTAAAGTGGAGATGGTGTAGAACTGAAAAAGTGTTGACTGTATAGTAGCTGGTATCATGATCAGTATGCCTGACTATTGAGTATTAAAGAGTCATGAAATCTTAGGGAGGCAAGAGTCCATAGACATCACTTATGCCTTCATTTTACCTCAGCAATTCACAAAACCAGAAGAAAGTCAAGTATCACACTTTTTAGAATAAAGAATCTGGCTTGACTTCCATCAAAAGAATCCTATTTGTCAAGTAGATATAGGTTTAGAAAACAGTTTCACAGCTCATCTGCTAAGCTAACATTGATTGTATATGTTTTAGATGCAAGGCTCTGTGTTAGGCACCAAGTAAGATTCCAAGTCTTAGAACAAGCACAGAGTTGTGTAGGAGACTTAAGCTATGGATCCTTAATACCTGGCTTGCACCTTCCTTGTGATGCTTACCACAATTTTTAACCTTCTGTTTAGTTATGCACATGTCTTATCATCTCCAGTACACTGTAAGCTTATCGAAGCCCCGATCAATCTAATTATGTTTGGACTAGAGGACTGATGCACGAAATTTGTGCAAAGGGCTTAGCCCTTGCAGACACGGTGGCTTGCCTTTGCCCTCACAGCCCTGGCACCATCAGGAAGGTAGTATGGAAGGACATCCAGAAGCATGTCTGGAAGGTCGTTTGGCTGTCTGGTCTAATTAGTATATTACACTTTTATTATTATAGGTGTCAAGCATCAAGAACAATGCCTTGCAAATAAATGCTAACCAATCAATATTTTCTGAATTAAACTAACAGTATGTAAAACCACTGGATATTTGGAAGGTGAAATATTCTCTTTCTATAAATGAGGCAACAGAAGTGGTATATGATTATATTTACTATATATGTATTGAATAGTTTTATGATGTTGAGTTTAAAAAACAGAAAATAAATTCAGTGCAAATTAAATTATATGGTTTCACGATAAATTATTCATTTGAAGTTGTTTGTTATAATGTCAGATAGCTGCTCAATAATTGTCAAACTTTTCTAACACCATATACTGCTTGAGCAGTAATTATGGAGCAGTACCAAGTTTTCATCTCATCCCAGTTACTATAAATTTAAAAGTTTCTCTAAATGCTACTGTATCTTTTTTTGAAAGAAGATATTAGTTATTCAAATGAATAATTTTAGCTAGATCACTGCTTTACAGATCAACTGTTCACATAGGGAAAAGGTTAAACTCTGATTAACTATCACATAAGAGTTTATAACTTGTAGGATTCTTAGATCCTAGTTATTGCTCATAATGATACTAATGAATATTCATTTCCAAATACAGTTGAGGTTTTTAAAAAAATCAACAATATAGTAAAGCTTCTAACAGGCTTAGCCAAAGTTCCATAAACATTGGTGAAGACTGTTTCTGGAAATATGGATTGTTCCATTTCAATTTTGAGAAATGCTCAGTGATTGTTTGGGATACTGAATTGTTTCTTTTTCCAGATATATAAAATAAATGCAGTGCACTTATTGAAGTTAAAATAAGTTTAGCTAAATATTTTTTAAAATTATAAAAATCACTCACATTTTATAGGAGCACTTTCACAAATGCTTTTACTATTTTATAGCTAAAAATATTCCACCTATTTTATGAGTTCATTTTTAATAAAGTAGTCAGCATTAAAATTTTGGTAAGCTGAGCATTGACATATTTGGCATCTAACACTGAAAGGACTTTAACATACCATTTAGCCGAGGCTGACCTCCCCATTCTACTGATGAGCTGAGGTCTAGAGAGCAGAAGCAGCATGCCCGAGGTTGTGTAAGTGCTTAGGACTCACTCGCTCCAATGTTGTCATTAAAAGTACAAATGGATATATGATGAAGCAACCTTTGTACCTTTCAAGCACGTCTGAAGCATTGATGAATGTGTTCGATGACGGATCTTTATTCCATGCTCACTGTTAACTAAACACTGTGCTACAAACTAGAGATACCACAATGAGCAATTCAGAAAATAATCCCTACCTTGATGAAGCTAGAAAGAGAAACGTATTAAATAAATGCTTAGACAGTAACTGTAAATTATGGTTAAGATAAGTGCTGAGAAAGGAAAATACAGAATGTCAAGAGACCATCTAATAAGGGTATTTAGCAGAGTCCAGAGGATCAGAATAGCTTCTCTGAGGAAGTAACATTTGAAGTAAGAATTATCCAGGTGGAAAGGTTGATAATGAACATTTTAGAAAAGAGAAACATCAATTATTATGGCTCTGAGGTAGAAAAGAAGGCAACATTTTCAGGGAATTTTAAAAAGGCCAATATAGCAAGATTGTTGCGTGACTGCAGAGTAGGATGAGAAGAGGCTAGAGAGGAATAGGGCCTGAGAGGCCACATTAATAATTTCAGACCTGATCCCCCAAACAGAAGTAGCTACAAAGAGGAATGAACTGAAACCAAGACACAACGAAGTTTTTCTATGATTTACCACCAACTTATTGACCAATATTTTAATTAAATTTGATGAAGATCTCACAAATCCACAAATATATACCTCCAATAGTAATTGTAGAGTTTTTGTCCTGAGACTAGCCGTAAAGGACAACCTATCTTGCATTTGGATCCTAGTGGCACTCAAATAACTAAGCCTGCTTAGATTCAACACAAAACAGTGGGCCTTACCAACCAAACTCAGCCATATGGTAAAATTCTTGAGTGTCTTTGAGCATACACAATGGTCTATGGCCCAGACAAACATACAGAGCACTAACTCAGGTACTGTGCTAGGCATTTTCATTTATTATGTAAACTTCAAATGAATTATATAAAATAGGATTACCCATTTTAGAGTCAATGTCACTTTTAAGCCCATGTACTTTCTGCTTTTATAGGTTAAAATTAAATTATTTTAAATAAGCTATACAGTGGATCACAATGAAACCCATTTCCTGTCCCTAGCCACAAGACAAAGATCATTGTCCAAGGAGAAGAGAGACTCTGAATTTGCTGCTGCCCTGAGATCTCAAATAGCAAACTATAATTCCAAATGTCTTACAGCTACTTCTTCTAAAATGGCATTTCACAATCTTCAAATGGAGACCACCAGCACGCATAATTTTGAACCAAACAACTCCCTTCTCCCACCAATCTCTAAGCCATAGCTTAAGACACCTGAAATACCCTAGTGACACATGTTTTAATAGATTGATAAAGTAAAAAGCACTATGCAGAGTAAGGATAGAAATAAGAGAACTTGATAAAAGGGAGAATAACAAGGGCTTTAAACTGGCACCGGTATACTCCAGTATACAGAAACCAACAGTAAAGAAAGCAGGCACAACTTCACACACTGGTTCTCTTTGGAGTGAAATCTCCTGTGTTTTATCATTTCAATTAGAAAGGGCTTTGTTAAGTGCCTTCTGAATCTGGCCCAGAGAGAAAGAAGAAGAAAAATTCTCCCTCAAATGTAATGTGACTATTGGTGGATAATAAGGAAAAGAGGAGAAGGGAAATGCCTTTCTATAAGAAGAGATTCACGGACCCTACTGAAATGTCAACTGATACCATCAGATTCACCCCATTTCCTGGGGTCCCACACATTGTCTGGGAACCCCAGGCCTAGCCCAGG